AGCATGAACAATTATAGAATCTTTTTCAGATATGTACATCTATTGCATACTGGTGCATGTAATTTATTATCTCTGAGACTGTTTGGATTTATTTTTGGGGATTAAATTCCTTGCACTACTTGTTTCATTTTTTGAATTTATTCAACTGTACTTTGGATAAATACATCAATTTAATAATTTTAAAAAATCGAAACACATTTTTAATGCTATATTTGGTAAATCTAACTGGTAGACTAGATCGGATAATTGAATTTCGAGCTTACAGATCATATCTTATGATTCATGGTTGAAAAACTAGTTTATATGATAAACGTGTTTGATAAATTAACTAAAATAAATATTTCAACGGAGTTATTTGAAAAGCTACTCAAAACAGCTAATGGGAGATAAGATAAAACTTTTTAGGAAAATCCGCCTATTAAACCAAACTTACTTGATTAATAGAGAAATTTATAAGAGCAACTTTAACAACATAGGGTTTATAAACATTTTTTGTTACATTCTCAATATTCCATATCATCAAAATCTCATTCTTACTCCTAATATCACAAATCCACAATAATCATAAACCTCACAAAACTTTTTTTAATCTGTCTTAGTTACTTTAATTTATGCATTAATTGAATTCTAAAAACAACAAAAACAACACACAAAAAATAAAAAAAAAATTAGGTGGAACGTGGAAGTCCCACCTCACACTATTTCCCATGAGCTTTATTAGAGGTTTGAGAATGTATATCTGGTTTACAAATATAAACCTCAAACCTGTATACTTTAGTCGTAAAAACTTATTTACTAAAGATGTTATATGTTAACCAAATAAATTATAAGTTAGTTTATGTTGCTTACCAAACACACTCTAAAAGATAAAAAACTTTAATAATAATAATAATAATAATAATAATAAACAACCAACTTCATTTATGTATGTTTAAGTGTATGTTTTGTTCAACGGAGGGAAAGGAAGGGGAGAAGATGTAAAATAATTTTACCCTGTTTAGATAGATTTTGTAGGAGAAGAGGAGAGGAAAAATAATAAACTTTGTTTGACTAAAAAATGAAGGGGGAGAAAAAATAATGTTAAATTGACTATTTTTTCTTTAATGAGATATGAAATATAATAATTAAATAATCTAAATATTAAGGACGGGAAAGTAATTTCAACCCTGATATGGGATATTATACCTTAGACCGGTCCGCTTGATGGGAGAGGAATAAATCAAATAAACGGGTCTGGTCCAATGGACTTTACACTGATCGACAGCAGTCAGAGGCCACGATGACAAGAATCTGAAAAATCCAGCAGATCCCAACTTACAGAAGACCTGGTCGAAGTGCTCAGTGATCGAGGTGAATGGTCGAGAGATCGACCACCACTTACACCAGGGGCAGCTTAATGGCCTGCCCAGATCTGGTCGAACATAAGAGCCTCCAAAGGAATCTCGGATATATGTGCGTGGGACACGTGGCGAGAGCTAATTGGCCTGTGTCAATAACAGTTCTGACACATTCCTGGCACACCTACCTAGGGGTTGTACTATCGGGCAGGACGGTCAGCCCTAAGGCAGCCAGCTCACCAATTTCGGCAGCTTCTAGAACAGGTATCTCACCCTTATAGCCTTATGAATTTCAGAACGATCTCTCATATTTTTCACTATCACTCATGTTATCTTCTCGAGACTAACTTGAGCATTGGAGGCTCTTCACCGGAAAATTCCCCCGGTATGAGAGTTTTGTGCAGGTTTCGACGTTTTACCGCCGAGAGGAGCAAGATCGGGACGGTTCTCAGCCGGTTGGAATGTCACACTTGTATTAAACCCTTTATATTTTCCTTCCCCTTCAAATCCTCCCAAATTTGGAGGGGAGCCATAAACACTATTTGGAGTGATTTTAATCCAAAATTTTCCTTCCCTCTCCCTTGAAAAATTGAACCTAATAGATGAAATGTAAAAAACGTTAGAATTTTTAACTAAGAAAATGTGAACTTAATGGCCTTTGTACTAAAATAACAAAAAACGAATTTAATAAAAAATTGAAAAATTAGATGCAAAAATATTAAACTAAACATTAAAATTATTTATTTTAAAATATACATGCATAATTTTAGTTAAATGGCATCAATAAAATTTAACAACTCAAAATTTTATAAGATTGAAATAACGTATATAAATTTTTTTATGACATAAAAAAACAATACCTTTATCACATTTTTTAAGACATAATAAAAAAAAATAAAATTTATCATAACAAATTTTAGAATAATATATGTAGTTGGACATCACATAATGAACAAAAGTAAAACTATTTTTCTTTTCTATAATAAAAATAAAGATATGTATTAAATTGTATTTATATTCATACAAACGAGCTAGTGAATTATCCGATTACCTACGAACAAACTTAATGGGTTCAAGCTAAAAGGCCACGACAAAAATCAAAATTAAAACGGCCAACACATATAAAATACATTTTCTTATTGTTTTGCTATATTCTGAGTTGCCCATTAAGTCTTGTTTTATTTAACACTATACATAAAGTATTGTGAGTTATTTGTATGTATATAATGATTGGTGATTTTTCTTGCACTTTTTTTAAAGCCAAATTTATAATTAATGGAGTTGAAATATTTATTTTTTTAAATTGCATTTATCATATTGGATGTAATGTATATTTTGGTATGTATTTTTTTTTTTCTGAATTATTTATTTAGAAANGTAGCTAGTTGTTTATTTAAAAAGAAAAGTGAGATATACCACCCCCCCAAAAAAAGAGAAGAAGAACAAAGATTAAAAAAGCTAAAAGATGACATTCAAATACTAGTTAGACAACAAGCAAATAGCTAAGAGCATCTGCTTCATACCTATGGTTATAGAATAAATTTTAACAAATGTCAATAAATTAAATGGATTGTAAATTATGTAGAAAAAATGTTAAATTTATAACTATAAAATTAAAAAATTATCTCCAATGCACAATGTAGTCTAACTACAAAATTAAGTTTTGGTAAGAAAATTAATTTAATAATTAAATAGTTTGAAATTGGTAAAACTAATTATTTCTCTTCTTTTCATTGACTAGCTAGAGTGTGGAGAATAATATGAATGAACAACATTATTCTCTACATTGTAGACATTAATTATGTACACATCACCACAACATTTGTGATCACAATGGACATTAGATGATGGAAAGTTGTGACATTGCTAAATTTATTGATATGAAATATACTTTAACATAACAACATTTGAAAATTCGAGATCTGATGAGATAAAAACTCCTAAAACATCGAGTGAATGGAATCTTTTGGGCCAAAAGATGCTCCATGTAAAAAATATAAGTCATCTATATATATATAATAAGAATTAACATTTACCATAAATAGTAGTAAGAAAAAGTCAACCCACATTTATTATATACTATTTTTAGCATTTTTTTTATTTTACATTTTAATTTTAATTCATTATCAAAAAATTGAATGGTTCCTAAATTAATGGGTTTTAGATGACGTATCCTGTTTCAAAAATTATAAATCATTTAAAATCGGATGGTTCCTAAATTAATGGTTACAAACTTTTCAAAGTTGTAATCTTTATGGCATATTTTCTTTTTGACTTTTAATAATAAAATCATTTAAATATATATATTCTAATCCAGAAATTCAATCATGTTATATATATATATACCCAATCAATTAATCGTGATTTTTTTTAAATTACTATGTTTATTTTTTATTAATATGCATAAAATAAAAATAAATAATTCATCTTTAGATATATAATTTATAATCTTAATATACTATTATTTGGTGTAGACATATGAATCATAATTTTTTTTTTTATTTCATAAAACTAAATATTATATTTAAAGAAAATAATAAAATTACTTTGGATCAATCGGGTGATTGAATTAGGGTACTGCCCACGTTGTGAATTACTTTTAGGTGATATTTAAAATAGTCAAAGAAACTTGACATAACTTGGTTGGTCCCAGGTAACTAAGTTATGTATCAGTTTGACCAGACCAAATCGATTATTGAACCTAAATATAAATTTTAATATTGAAAATACTTTATTATGTAGTCCAAACTTCAAATAATCATATTAACAATACTTTTAGGACAACATGATTAATGATTTATGAATATATATATATCATTTTATTATTATTTATGTGAACAAAATAATTATTTTATTATCATTTTTATTAATGTACGGTAAATATAAGGTTTTCAGAACCAGAACGTCATCGAAACGATCAAGTTATTTTATTAAATCATTTGTGGTTGTTCAGATTTTAATACATAATACTTTAATATATATATATATATATAATCTTTTTTGTAATAAATTTAAATAAAAAGTGTTACTTAAATATCTAAACAATTTATAAATTCAAATTTTTAAACTAATTGATAAACAATTTATAAATCTCTATTTTATTTAAATATGTAATTTTATTTAAAATAATTTTTAATGTAACAAAATTTGTTTAGAAAATCGTATCGATCCTACCAGTCCAACATACTGATGTTGACGAATTCGATAGCAAATATTTTATTCAAGCTCAATAGACTGGTTATAAACCGGTTCTCGGTCCATCCGGTCGGACTGTGTCCAACCCGATTTAATTTAAAAATTATGAGTAAATCATGATTAATGTTATTTATTTATTTAATTTATAATACAATCAAAATATTGTTTTCCCGTGCATCGCACGGGCCACGCACTAGTACTAATAAAAGCACAAAGATGAGTAAAAGAGTAAAAAGTAATCAATCACAATATATCAACAAACAAATCACCAACAAATCGCTCGACGGTTCACCTTCTAAACGACAACATTTAAACACGAAATGACGAAAATAAAATTAAAAAATAAAAATGGAAGGCAAAATCAACCCCAATAATTCCTATCTACTTCCAAGACCAATACTCACGTCACGTTAAGGAAAAAAGAATTATAATTCACATTAATTTCTCAAAAATTAAGCCGATTACCCTTCACTCCAGATTATTCTCCATTGAGAACATCGTCATCTGCTCTGGCAATAGGGGCATAACAGGAATAAAATTGTACACCGGCTGTTCCCGGTTACCCTTTCCCGTCTCCGGCAGAATCCCGTACGCATAAGGCCCCCCCTGATAAATTCCTCCATTAACCACCGTCGGCAGCCGGTAAACTGCCTGAGGAGCCGCCGCCGCCGCCCCGTTCACACTCCCATTGTTAGCATCGCCGGACACGTGGCCCCACGTCTTTCCGATTTTGCCCTCGGCCCCTCCACACTGAACCAACCCGAAATTATCGGGCATAATTATACCGGGAATCTGCAAAAGATCCAGAGGCGGCCCAACGCTGGGCTCGTACTCCTTATCAAACCCGAATAGATAGTCCGGATTCGAGGGCATTACAGGGCCCGAGCTCTTGACTGCCACCGATTTCACGGGCTGGGCCGATACATCAAAGACAAATAACCGGAGCCTGGCGGGCTTGGCCGTGATCCCCTGCAATCGGTCGTACTCCACCATCATTTGCTCCACATCGTCGTCGTCGATCAAAGAGATCAGGGCGTACAGATCCTCTCCGGGGAGTTGGTACTTGATCGAGATCTCCGATTTCTCGCAGATGGAATTCAATTTCGCGGCAATCTCGGAGAATTTTATGTCGCGATCGACGGCCAGGATTTTGGTGTCGCCGCCGACGTATGACAGGTGATGGTGGTTCGGCCGGGACTGGATTCTTCCGCCGTAGCTGCACAGCAATTTGACCTTTGTAGCGCCGCCATTGATGAGGCCCGAGCTTTGCTTCTCCATGACTCGGGTTTTTTATTTGGGGGAGTCCGTACTGTTTTGGAAGTGTGACTGACGCCTACTAATTGTTATTGATAAATAGTGGAAACATCCCGGGAGTTTTGATAATTTCGAATCTCCTCTCTAGTTTTAGAGTGATACAACTTCAATAACAACTAGTGCTGATTGTGATATAGAATAAAAATTATTTATTATCCAATATTGTTAACTTATTAATCAAATATATCGTGCGATAATGATAAATTAAAATAATTAAATAATATTAATTAGTATAAAAATAGTTTCGAATACTACTGTTCATTTTTCTTTTTTTTACTAGTAATCATCTTGTGCACATGCACATATGTACGTAACATATTATAAATAATATGTGCGAATTTAGTATTAAAATCAGATATTGAACATATCACATTTTCAAGATTTAATCATTCGTAGAAATAAATTAATATAACTATAAATTATTTAAGTATATATGAATCACTATATTGATTGAAAAAAGTTTTCTCGACCGACCGAACCGAACAACGAAAACCGAATTAATCGAAATGCTATAAGTCAAAAACCGAACCGACCGAAATGTATGCTTAAACCGAAGTATAACCGAACCGAATTATTCGGTCGATTCGGTCAGTTAACCGAATTCTTTACAAAAAATAATTTTTTCAGAAAATAGAACATACATTATTCTCACAAACATACATACAGGATTAAAAAATTCAGTGAACATAAACATCTCAAAAATTCACAAACATACAGGATCTTCATTCTTCACTACTAGTCAGCAATTAGAAAATAAACAAAAATTGAAAAAAGACTTTGTATCTTGATTTGAGATGGAAGATTTTGTGAGGGAGACGAATTCGCCCTTGACGGTGAACAACCGTGTGTGCCGGCCGAAACCTCCAAGCTCAGCGCCCTCGACCGACGATTCAACGACCGGCGACAAGGAGTTCCTTAACCGGCAACAAGGAGTCACAGACGCAACTTCTGGGGACGATTTTTGCGGAGAAGACGATTTGGGGATGATTTGGATTTGTGCGATTTAGGGCGAAGCCAGTGACCACGAGCTCCTTGACCGGGCGGAGAAGTAGCGATGGAGGAGCAGACTGGCGACTGGTGCGAGTCGACGACCGGTGACCACGAGCTCTTTGACCGGACGGAGGAGCAGCGACCGACGGACGACTGATGAGCGACGGAGGAGTAGCGGCTAGGGGTGTAGCCGTGTAGGGGCGGAGGATTTGGGGACGGCGGGGAGGATTTGGGGAAGGCAGGCGCGCCCGTTTCTGAAGTGAGAAGAGAAGACAGAGTACAGAGGGATGAGGGATTATGGTTATTGTTATATTTGTATTAAAATATTATATTATAATATATAATATGACATATATATATATATATTATATTCGGTTGGTTCGGTTTTTTCGGACTTTTTATGTCCGAAACCGACACCGACCGAAAAAATCGAAAATTTACTTTGAAAACCGACTACCGAACGAGTCGAACAAAAACCGAACCGATTTGGTCGGTTCGGTCGGTTTCGGTCGGTCGGTCGATTTCAGTCAAAATTTGCACACCCCTAGCAACAAGCTTTCTCCTCCGAGATAACTGACGTCACTGAAACAAGCAAGTCTTCATCGATTTTCTTTCATACTCTCTCTCTCTCTCCACATTTTTTTTCCTCTCCATCACACTACTCTATGCATATTTTAATGTTCCTTTTGGTGTAAAATATTTTTATCTTTTGTTAAAACTAATAAATGTGAATATTATATGGGTTGTTGACTGCCACTCCTTCAATACGTGCTGCCCTGGGCCAGGGACTGCCGTTATAAGCATAGATGAAGTCATTTCCAATTTTAAGAACAAAAGGGAAGATAACAGCTAAGGTTTATTATAGAAGAGAAGAGTAGCCTGGTTGTGGTTGCGGAAAAGAAACTGTCTACAACGAGAAGCCGGCCAAAGAGAAACAACTGTAAGATTTCGACACAAGAGAAGAAGAAAGAAGAAGTGGTAAGCTCATGTTTTAAGAAGTTGAAGAAGGACGTTGGTGTTCGCCTATATTTTTAAAGCGCGACCGCAAGTGTACGGCTTCGCTCGTAGTATGTGGCAAGCAAGGTCGTATCCCAAGAAACCAAATAATCAATATATCAAGTACTAGATTATGATAATGTCAATTTTATTTAGACGATCGAATATTGGATGGATTAACTAACTAAGAAAATAAATCAAAGGGAAATAAAGCAAAAATAAAGAATGAGCTAGAAAAACACGTAAGAAAATATACGGGAATGATAGATTCTAAGACTTTGGTTTCAATTAATAGTTGGGTTCCTTCAAAAATATCACAACCAATGTTTTATTTATCTCCCCTATAAGATGAGCACAAATTTAGCTTATCGTCCCTCTCGAGATCGATAAAACCGTAGATTAAATCACATATATTAGTGTCTCCACTCAACACATGCAATTCAACTCCAAATAGATTAAAAGATCTAATATCCTCACAACGACCTACTAATCTCTCGATTCAAGCAAGTAAATTGTGTCAAATATTAAAGACCTAATATTGAACTCATCTCTCGAATTATGAACAATATTGTTAAACATGTAAAAGCATTGATCAAGTGCTAAACATGAAATAAGAACAAAATATTTGAATAAGGTTCAAAAGAAGACAATCAATTATAATAATTCATCTAAAATCCCAACATATTAATCTACTACCAAGTCTTAGAATCAAATAATCTAGCCACTCATGTTCGAATTCAAATACATAGACATATTAGAAATCGACATGATAAATAAAAGTTCAAAAGGAAGAAGAAAGAAAAACTAGGAATCTCGTCGATCTTTCAATCTTCTTGATCCTTTTTTAGTTGGATCTTCTTTTACTTCCCAATTGCTTCTTTTGTGTGTTCTAGGGCTCCTCTCTTGTGTCTCTCCCGTTTTTTCCCTCAAAATAGGGTATATATACCTCTTGTTTAATGTCCAAAACCCTTCTCCTGTTCAAAATAGGTAAGATATAAAAAACAGCCTGCGCGCGCGACACGGCCATTCTGCCCGTGTCACGGTCCGTGTCGCTGCTCGTGTCAGGTCTCTGGGCTTCGAATTCTCTCTGTTGAGGTGACACGGCCCCTGACACCGGCATAATGCCCATGTCACTGCCTATGTCACAAATCTGCACTCTCATTTTTGCTTGTTTCGCTCGTTTCTTTCATTGTTTTCATCCTTGCATCAATCTTTCATCATTCCGGGGGTCTTAGGTACTCACCATGCGTCTCCAATAGCCACAAGCTCTACAAATATGTGAAAATATCTACAAAACAAGCACGTGTAATACCTTTCCAACAAGATATAGAACTATAGCACAATAATGCAATTTATACACAAATAATGCAATGAATAAGCTCTAGATACTATATAAATATAGTGTAAAATCACACATGAACAGTTGGCCACAGGTTTAAAACATAGTAGATAGCGGCGAGCTTTGGAGCAAGCAACGAGTGACTGCAAGTGCTTTACTTGCAAGGGCACTGGGTTTTAAGAAGATAAAAAAGAGAATGCTGCATTTTTTAAGAAGTGCGTGCGACGAGGAATCTATATATATATATATATATATATATATATATATATATAGGGTCGCGCTCACATGAGAATGGTGTCCAGTGAAAGAAATAAGAATAAATTGTGCAGTCATTAGATCGGATGATCTGATGGATGAAAAAAAAGTCAAAATTATACTTCATTAAGGGTAATATAGTAATTTTAACATACAAATAATGGGGCCCACAAACACCAACTCTCCAACAATCACGTGGGTCAAACCGCTCACCTCACCAATCTCTCTCTCTCTCTTATAATATGTCTCTCTCTCACACAAAGTCCCACATACACACACTCACTGTACACATATTGAATCGATGCTCACCTTCAGTCCGCCATATCTGCCACCGTCTTCCTCCAGATCCGCCATTCCCGCCGCTATCGCCGCCGTCTTCCTCCAGATCCGCCATTCCCGCCGCCATCTTCGTCCTCATGGTTCCAGAATATGGCCGTCGACATGGACGCCGGGAAAGCGTAGCCGTAGCCGTCGCCGTCTTCGTCATCTCAGTAGCCGCCATCTTCGTCCTCTCAGTAGCCGTCGCCGTCGACGTCCAAAATCTCCGGTGAGGTTGCCATTATCTGCAGAGCACACACAGACGTAAACCACACACACACACTCACGCACAAAATCTCAGGCAGTGACTCCGACCATATCGCAGCCGCATCTCCGCCAGACAACGTAGTCTCCTCAAGCTTCCGTGAACGGCGCTCACTCCGCCATTTTCGTCGCCTACGATGGAAGAATAGTCCCGGTCGCCGGCGTGAGATCGGGGAACGATTGGAAATCTGGAAAAATCGTCTCCGGCGACCCTCCGTTCCCCGCCAACAGAGGCCTTCCAACCGCCGGCAGCTCCGCGTACGGCGGGGCAAGGCACGCCGTCGAATTTCAGTGCCGGAAAGTGACTGTAAATTTGTTTGGATTTAGGGGCTTGTATTTGAGAATTTTGAGAACTTTCAAGGACCTAATTGCAGTTTACATAATTTTAGTTTAATTCCAATTTGGTACATGGGCTAAATATGTAATTTATAAAAATTGTATAAAAAATATTATTTTTGTTTAAATCTTACGATAGGTAGTAGCTTGAAGAAGGCCCATTTCTTTTTAATTGTACCGTTGGTATGTAAGAGCTTGAAGAAGGTCAATCATCATTATTTTTTTCTACTTATTCTGTAATTGATTTTTAATTTTTATTATTATTTTTTTTATTTTTTATTTTTTTATACAATGGCCAAACTGTATAAATAATGCACTTTATATATTAATATGGTGCACTTTATAAAACATCACATCTATCATTATATAAAAAGAATAACATTTTTACAAATTTAGAAACTTTTTCCCGCCAAAATTATTAAATATATTCTAATATAGTAATTGTTGGACAAATCTAAATAGGCAAAAAAATCGGCTCATTTTTTTTAGTTTATGAAAACCGTTGTTTGACAGTAAATATTTGTTTTTTTTTTCCTATTTTTGGTATAAATCCACACGCTTACCTCTTTTGTTACAAAATCCCATTGCATACGTCTTTTACAAATATTATAAGCTAACCATACAAAAAAGGATAATAATAATTTTGAAATGGTGTGTAATCAAATTTTTTTATATTATCTTATACAAAATAATTTTACATTGTTTGACCCCGAATCTTTAATTTATAATTATTAAGTATTGTTTATCTTTCTCTGTAATTTATAATTATTTTTTTTGCTTCTTCTTTTTAAATAGGATCAATAGTAATTTCCACTTCGGTCATTGAGTGACTCAAACTCGAGGTCTATTTATAATATTGTTAATTTAATATTGTTTCCGTGCATCGCACGGGGTATACACTAGTTACACTTTATCAACACACTCCACAATTAATGTCAACAGCTACGGTCAAAATATTACGCTATATAAATCTAAACAACAGATATACATAATAATTTAATATCCATCACATCATCTGTACAATAAAAAAAAAAACATTGCATGCTAACGTACCAAAATTCTGGTATTGCACTTTATATATCAATACATTGCACTTTATACGACAATACATTGCACTTTATAACAAAACATGTTGCACCTTATAAACTGACGCGTTGCACATATTTTGTTTTTTAAAATATATTGGTTTGATTATCTGTTTGTAATTTAAGAAATTTTGGTACCTCAGGCCGTTGTCAGCTTTATTGTTTAAAATAAACGAACCGGCCGACTATAAAAAAAAATAATATTTTGTTTTACAAAATAAATAAATAACTAATATAAGATATTAAATAAAAACATTAAAATACTAAATATATTTTAGTTTTAGTTTTGTGTGAGATAAATTATTAAAAAAATATATGCACTTCGAGTGCAACTTAGCGTTAGACGAATTTCAAATTAATGACTGTCATATTGCACAATACAGATTGAACCCAAGCGAACTAAGTTTTTGTGTTCAAAATTTATATGTCGACTCGATTATCTATTTTTACCTTTAAAATAATTAGTTATTTTAGTTTGATTTCATATTTAATTTTTTAAAATAACCGAACAACTTAACTGACCAAATTATATGAAAAATAATTTTTTTTTGGTAATCTTTTCCTATAAAATAATATTTTTTAAACAAAAAAAATATAAAATATTAGATAAAAATACTAAAATAATAAATAATGTTTTAGTTTCATTTAGTTCTGTTAATTTGATTAAACGATAAAATAATCTAGTTAATCGTGTTTGATATTAAATTGGTTTGAAACAAAAGATCAGTTGGGTTAGATTGCACAATAGCGACTGAAAGTTTGCACTAAACTGTTAAACGAATTACACAATAATGTATGTTGGGCTGCACATTATTGGGCATTTTATTTACTATTATTGTGCATGTATCAAGGTTTTATTAAATTACATATTCGCATCAAGTACTAAATTATAGTATTATTTTTTACAATAAAATAATAACTTTTATATATTTTTTATATAGTTCAATTTATTTTTAAAATAACCGAAATAACTAAACAAATCAAACAATATAAAAATATTATTATTATTTTTTTTAACTTTTATGTATAATGTTGCACATTAAGGTTACACGAGTTGCACATTAGTGAATATTAGATTGCACCATATCAAACGAACGGATCTAATTAGATTTTTTAGTTTGAATAATTTTAAACTTCAATCCAAAATATTTTTTACATATTTTGAATGTTTGGTTCAATGTCATTTTTTTTAAAATTACCTAACCTAACATTCAAAATATATAAAAAATATTACTATCGTTTTGTTTATATTTAATACTTATTTTCAACGAATATTACATAAGAATAATGAAATTTATTATAGTTTGACCCATTAATTTTTTTTAAATTACAATAAAGTCCTTAGGACTTACCAAATTCACAAATAATAGCCCCTCAACCACAAATCTGCAAAAACAGTCACAGCGCCACCCATATACGCCTCCGCTAACCACCACGGCAGTCGCTGACAATAGTCTCCCAGGCTACATTCATATCCGCTGCCGTCACCACGCGCCGGTATGGTCAACCATCGCCGTCGAGCCAGCAACCGCAACCGTCGTGTCATCAATATCCTCATCTTCTGATTAGGTAGGCGGAGAAGATGGGTGGCAGATGAGAGTTCGAGAAACGCGTGGGCGCCGGCTTAATCGAATTCTGTCGCCGGTGAAGTCAGCCGGAATGATATGAGAGCGACATGGTGCGACTGAGAGCGCCGGCGGTCTTCTTTATGTATTATTACGGCGAGAGCATGAGAGAGAGAGAGAGATGGTGCGACTGAGATGACGACGTCAGATTGACGGTGACGGTGGTGATGGGCGGCAGTTGCATCAGGGTGGTCGGGGATGCGCCAGGTTGTTCGACGGAGGTCGAGGAGGTCGACGGACGAGGTGACTGCGACTTTGGCGGCGTCCACCGGAACGGAATGGCACTCATCGGCGTCGGGGATGGTGTCCGGCGGGCGGCGGCGGCAGATCTGGAGGAAGTGTGTGTGTGTTACGGTGTGTGTGTGTGATGACAGATTAGATTAAATTGTTGTGGACAATTAAATTGGGGTTGGCGGGGCCCACTGGTTAGGTGATGTGGATTAAATTACAGATTTACCCTAAGATGGCTACAATTGATCCAAGGATGTTCTATTATTTACAAATATGCCACCGCGATTTTGACCTTTTTAATTAATTTTGACTTCATCATAGTCATTGATGTGGTAGATCCAATGCTCCAAATTCATTCTTATTTCTTTCCTTATGAGTCATTCTCATATGATCCTTTTTCTATATATATATATATAATAAGAATAACCATTTACTAAGAATAGTAGTAAAAATATTTGGAAGTATTTAATGCATATTTTTTTTGGAAATTTTTAAATATATGCATTAATTGCTTCCATATATACGTTTTCAAATAAGATCAAATCAAATATGATAAAAAATATTGTTCCCTTAAATAATTTTATTAATATTTGCAACAATTTCATTGATATCCATTATATTATATTACAAGATTGATTTTTCGTGATTCATGTTGATAATATTTTGGTCAAGATAAATATATTACAATATATTTTAAGTTCTAACCATAATATTATTTTTTTCATAAATATTCACTTTTATCCAAAGATATCTATAGAAAATCGGAACAGGATAGGTAGAATTTTTTCTTCTAATTAATCAGGTGAAGTCAAGTTGGTGAATTAATTTTTGTCAATATAATTTTTTTCTTAAGCTTTATTTCGTTATATATAAATAATAAATTATTCTTCAAATTAATATAAAAAAAATATATGTATATTTTGTAAAATATTTCTATATTATTTAATTTTAAATTTATTTACATATTTGAAATTGATTACATAAATAAATTATACTAACGTGCGTTAAATATTTTTCATTACATAAAATAAAAGGAAAAAGAAGACGTTCAACTTCTATAACTTTTATAAATAGACATTATATGAGAACAAAGTTTATGATAAAATAATAATTAAGTATTATATGGTGAACAAGAATAAATAAAATTGTTATTCTCTTATATCAAGGAATAAATATATATACTAAAATCAAATTCATATTGGTATAAATGTGTTAGGCATATAATACATTAATTATTTTATAAGTTAACTCTAACATGCTCATATTTAATGTTCTTCTGGTTAAAAAAACAATGTTGCTTAAAAGAGGTAGAAAATAAATTATGACACTATTGTTTTTTAGACTTAACGCTTAATAAAAGAGATGGAAAATAGATGATAACCCTATTCCTTTTAGAGACAGAGACTGTGAAAATAACTTATTTAATATCTATGTCTCGTGCATGGCTATACGTACTAGTTACAAGGAAGAGAGAAGTTACATGTCCTATTGACTCCCAAAAGAAAGTATCCCTCCTTTATCAGATTTCACGATGGCATGAAGCAACTCGTTGGCTGTCTGTTGGCACAATAATGGCACATCAGATGCACAATATTGTGTATAGATGTGCACTTTAAAAAATAATGTCATATGTATACGAAATTATTAAAAATTTGATAAATAAACCATTTTTTCAATAAGTGATTTTCACAATATTTTTCTATAGATATGCGCTTTAAAATTAAAAACAAATAATTAAAACGAAAAATAAAAATTCGAACTAAAAATTCTGACATAATCGGTTCAATTTGTTGGTTAACATAAATAACCAAAATAACCGAAATAAATTATATTATTTATTCTAAAAACATGTTTAGTCTTTAATATTTTTTATTTAATATTATATGTTATTTTTTTTATTAAAATAATAATATATATGTAAACGAAATATAATATGCAATCTATCAGTTATTAATGTGCAATTCGTCAAATACTACGGTGGTGTCGGTCTATATTGTACAGATTGAACCGACCGAACTTTTGTTGTAAATCAAATTGAAACTGGATATAATTAATTGGTTTACTCGGTTAATTATTCTAACTAATCAAAATAATTTGTTCTTTATATTTAAATTATATTAATATGTTAATAATCTTATTTATCATTTTTATATTATTTTTGGTTGAAAAAAATATAATATATAAAATAACAAAATCAATAAAATACAAGCACCCTAACACAAATGTGCATCTAGTAATAATATAAAAGTGCATTCTATTGAACGAATATTTTTTTCCGTGTATTTAAATTTTAGAAAACTTTAATAATGTGTATTTTATTAGTTAACATTATTTTACACTTATTATATAATTCATGTAATTAAAATATATTGAGTAATTTTGAATTTTTAATATTTTATAATATTATCTGTTGAAATCGAATAATAATATTTTTTAAATAATTTAATGTCGAACGCATTAAAGTGCATTGCGTCTAACGCTATAGTGCAATCTGATATTGACTAATGTACAAAATGATTAGTAATATTGTGCATTAAATTTGAATTTTTTATGTTCAAATTCAAACTAAAAATGAATTGAAATAATTTTATTATTCGGTTGGTTGTCGCATTAATCTAAATTGATGAAATATTCTATTATTTATTATTATAAAAATATATTTCAGCATTTTAATATTTCTATATATTTTCTTTATTATTATTTGGTTAAAAATGACATATTTTATATATGTGTAAAATAAAATATAAAATTATATTATTTTATATATTTTTCATAAATTGCAGATTTCACCCTTGGGATAAATTGAAATATAATAAAAATTCTCAAATTTTGCAATTAAAATATCAAGTTCACAAAACAAAGTCCTCAATCTCAAAACACGTTTCACGTGTTCCCGGCCAATTCGGCCGTCGTCCTTGCCGTCGTGAATCGCCCAGCCGAGAGGACGTACTGCTTGTCGCCGGTGATGTGCTCATCCGACCGATTTTTTCTAAAATCGGGTAATGGAATTTACACAAACCCTAACTATTCGCCGCGTGTCGGAGGGCATTAGAGCTTGTCAGGTGGCCATGGGGCGCTGGTGAGGACGGGGCTGCGACGGGCTGCACATTGGTGCAATTTTGATGGTCGTGGGGTTCGCTGGGTCGCGTGGCTGAAGTGGACGGCCGCTGTGTTGCTGTGCCGACGGCGGCGATTCTCCGGCCGCAGTCGGTTAGTAGAATCCGGTGGTGGTGGCGGGGACGCTCTGGCTGGTAGGGATGAAGGCGGCTGTGGCGGTGATGCTCTCACCGGCGGCGGCAACGGCGGGGCGGAGGCGACTGTGACTGGGCGGATGTGGTGGTGCAGACTTTTTTGTGTGCGTAAATGGTGTGTGTGATGTGTGTGCTACGTGTCAGTGCGTGTGAGATGTTGTGCGATGTCTGTGTGAGAGAGTTTGGTGTGGTGAGGTTGACTTGGGTCCACATGTGGTGTGATTGTTTATAATGTCCAAATTACTCTTAATGAATTTTTAAAATATTGTACTTTTTTAGCCGTTGATTATTCGATTCAATGACTATGATGTATTCTTATTTCTTTCAATGAGAACCTTACTCACTGGAGTGCGACCCTATATATATATATATATATATATATATATATATGTATATTAGTTGTATCTGGAAATTGCATTGTTATTACATTAGCAGTTAATCTAATTCATGCAATCACTATTAATTAAAAAACATGTGAAGATCAAATATTGTTCCATTCTTTTAGAACTACTTGTAAGCAAAGGGGATATAATAATCACAATAGCAGTCACTGGCTCTATAAAATTTGATACCAATGCAAATATTTAGAGAATTAAAATTAATGTTATACAAGATATTGGATGAATATTCTCCCTGTTCCATATGTAAATGCATTTTCCTGGTTAGTTGTCTTTTGTTGCTAGGTTATTTCTTTCTCGCTGCTAGGTTAGTTGTCTTTTGTTGCTAGGTTATTTCTTTCTTGCTGCTAGGTTAGTTGTCTTTTTTTGCTAGGTTAGTTGTCTTTTTTGGCTAGGTTAGTTGTCTTTTGTTGCTAGGTTAGTTGTCTGATGCTAGGTTAGTTGTGTTCTGTTGTAAGGTTAGTTGTCTGATGCTAGGTTAGTTGTCTTTTGTTGCTAGGTTAGTTCTTTCTTGCTGCTAGGTTAGTTATCTTTTGTTCCTAGGTTATTTCTTTCTCGCTGCTAGGTTAGTTGTCTTTTGTTGCTAGGTTATTTCTTTCTTGCTGCTAGGTTAGTTGTATTTTGTTGCTAGGTTAGTTGTCTGATGCTGGTAAGTTAGTTGTGTTTTGTTGCTAGTTTAGTTGTTCTTTCTGCTGTCTGATGCTGCTAAGTTAGTTGTGTTTTGTTGCTAGTTTAGTTGTTCTTTCTGCTGCTAGGTTAGTTGTGTTTTGTTGCTAGGTTAGTTGTCGGATGCTGCTAAGAGTTTAGTTGTTCTTTCTGCTTCTAGGTTAGTCAACGGTCAACGCCGGAGTCAACGGTCAACGCCGGAGTCAACAGTCAACGCTGGAGTCAACTAATAATTATTTTATTATTTAATTAATGTATATTTTAATTGATTTTGATCTAGACAAAATGAGTGGCTAAGATTGAGTCTCACGTACTCATTTTAAGGAATGGTCTCATTGGATCCATCCCTTATATATATATATATATATATATAGTGATTGGTTCCAATGCATCCCATTATTTAAAGTGAGAACGTGAGACTCATTCCTAGCCACAAGATTTAGATCTTGATTTAAATAATAATTTTTTATTTTTATTATTTAATTCTTTATTTTTAATTATTTAAATATTATTATGTCCATTGACCGTTGACTCCGACGTTGACCGTTGACTTCCGGCGTTGACTTCCGACGAAACTCGTTGACTTCCAGCGTTGACCGTTGACTTCCGGCGTTGACTTCCGACGTTGACCGTTGATCATTTGTCTTTTGTTATGTTATTTCTTTCTTGCTAGGTTAGTTGTTTGTTGTTGCTAGGTTAGTTATTTGTAGCTGCTATGTTAGTTGAGTTTTGTTGCTAGGTTATTTTTTTCTTGCTGCTAGGTTAGTTGTCTTTTGTTGCTAGGTTAGTTCTTTCTTGCTGCTAGGTTAGTTGTCTGATGCTGCTAAGTTAGTTGTGTTTTGTTGCTAGGTTAGGTTAGTTGTGTTTTGTTGCTAGGTTAGTTGTCTGATGCTGCTAAGTTAGTTGTATTTTTTTTATAAAAAAATTGTAACCCATAGGATTTGAACCTGGTACCTCATGGAGGCAAGACAAGCAATGCAACCACTACACCACTCAAGGTTGAGTGTCTTTTGTTGCTAGGTTATTTATTTCAATATAACGGGTCAACGCCGGAAGTCAACGGTCAACGCCGAAAGTCAACGATACTCGCCGGAAGTCAACACCGGAAGTCAACGGTCAACGCCGGAGTCAACGGTCAACTATTTTATTATTTAATTAATGTATATTTTAATTGATTTTGATCTAGACAAAATGAGTGGCTAAGATTGAGTCTCACGTACTCATTTTAAGGAGTGGTCTCATTGGGTCCATCCCCTATATATATATATATATATATATATATATGGATGCGCTCCAGTGAGAATGGTTCTCAATGAAAGAAATAAGAATACATCATAACCATTAAAACTGATAATCTAATGGACCAAAAAAAAACAAGAATTTTAATCTCATTAAGGGTAAGTTAGACATTATACAATACTCAAATAACTACACACCACACGTGACCCACCCCTCTCTCTTTCTCAATCAAACACACGCAGCAAAACACAAATTTCACACACAAACACACACATATCAATACGCAGAACACCACAAGTCCACCGTCGCCATTGTTGCCCCGCCGGAAGCTCCACCTATTTCGCCGTGAAATTGTTGCACTGCCGGTCTCCCCGCCGCCGCGATTCTCTCACAGCCGCTGACGAAAATTACACAGCCTTCCAAAATTCTGGCCGCCGTGAATTGGCCGTGAAGGACCTCGCGGCCACGTCCGTGAATACTCCCACAATCATCTTCAATGACCGGCCACCAGACACCGCCCGCCGCCGTCGTCCTCCCTCCCTCTCCATTGGCGGCCCGAAATCAGCTTGTTTGCTCGTCTATAATTCCGGCGAGATTCAGACGGATCTCAACTCATCCCGCAGCCCGTACACCCTCACCACTGTTTCCTACAACGATTGTGCGCGCATCGGCAGGGGCTGTTTGCTCACCGGTTAGAACCTCGATTCGAAATTGACGGCGGGGTTCGGGGGTTCTGCTCACGACGGGAAAAATTCCACGAAGGGATGCCGGACGTGGCCGCGCGAGGTGTTCCGGCGATAGCTGGTGACTGGGCGACGATTCAAGTCGCCGGCCGGCGATAAACATAAACCGATGGAGAGGGCTGAGGGGGTGGGTGAGTCAGGTGACGGGAATTTGTCATTTAAGATTTTGGGGTTTAATTTTGAAAATTTGATAAGTTGTGAGGACCTAATTGTAATTTCAAGACTTTTAATAGATTGCAATTTAACTTATGTGTTAAATCTGTGATTTATTATAATTTTAATAAATACACGTTATTGATAAGTAAAATGCACAATATGCGTACGAATATCCATTATAAAAATATATGTATCGTATAAATGCACAATAATAATAGACAAAATGCACATTAATCCATGTAATAATGCACAATATCGTAATAAATGTATTCAAACCGAATGTTTATATGACTATACACATATATATGTTTTTTACTTTCAAAATTTTAGTTATTTCGATTCGATTATTTGTTGATATTTTTAATTAAATTATTTAGGTTCGACGTCGAATTTATATTTTTATATACAAAATCATTCATTTCAACATAAAATAAAATATAAAATATAAGTTATATATATCAACAACACAAAATATATTTTTTTCTTTTGGTTATTATGGTTAATTCGGTAAACATATTATTTCGATTCAATTTTATGTTCATTTGATACAACTTTAATAAATGAACAATTTCTACATTATGTTGTTTATAGTTTATACTGTATAATGCACAACAGTGATAGACAATATACACAATAGTGTATATGAAACTGCACTTTAGCGTAACATTAGTGACTAAATTAGCCATATTTGAAAAAAATCAAAATTCCCCATATTTTTCGGTTTCTTACTTTTAAATGTTTTGGTTATTTTAGTTCGATATCGACTTTAATTTAAAACTAATCAATTTATTTGAAACAATCGGACCATGTAATCAATAGTTATTTTTATTATTATTATTATTATTATTATATACATATTATGTATTTTATTCAAGATAAATAATATAAAATATGAAACTACTAAATATATTTTATAATATAAATAATAATTAATTTGGTAATATTAATTAATTCGTATAACTGACCGAATAATCAATTATGTCTGTTCGTATTTGAATTCGTTTAGGACAAAAGGTTTAGGGATTCATTTTTTTTTTCTTTTTTTAAAAGTTCGACGAGGTTACTTCGGTCAGCCGTTTCGGTCGATGAAAACACTTATCGCGAGGCCATTTTGGTAAACTTGAGAGGATACACAATACTATCAGACGTGGTCCTGTGGATGCACAATATATTTGTACCGATTGCACATTAATGCGTATGAAAATGCACATTAGCTTATATTCCGGTCATCGTCATCGACACTGTGAAAAACAATGAAAAGATACATCGATATGTCATTGCGCATTTTTATAATCGTTAACGTGCTATTAGTTTTCTATATTGTGCATTACATAGAATGGATATTGGTGTGTACGGTTTGCCTAAAATAGAAAATTCAACATATTTTTTAATTTTATTTTATTGTTTTAATGTGCATATACATCTACTATATTGTGCATTGTACTAGACAATATTGTGCATTTATTAAATTTTTGTTAATTTACAAATCTTACCCAATAACTAAATTGTAATATGTGTACCAAATTGAAATATGTTAAAATTAAGAAATTGCAATAAGGTCCTTGTAACATATCAATTTTTCCAAAATAACCCCCCAAATTCATCTTCCCAAACACCTGCAAAAAAAACTCAATATCCTTATCACCAAATACGGTTTTCATCAGTCCAAATAGTGAAGGTCGGTTGTCCGGTCGACCAGGCCAATGTGTCGGATTGCTTGGCGACCGGCGAGTACGGTGACGGCTCCGATCTAACCGGCGGATCTGGGGATCGTAACTTCCGGCAATTACTCGGCTGCTGTATTTGATAATCTCGCGGCCATCCCGATGGAGTTCGACGGTAAGGAGGCTGACAACACGGCGAAACGACCGCGATCTGTCGACTTGCAGGGGCGACGGTGTGAGGTGGTGCTGGCGGGTGTGTCGGAGCTGTTGGTTGCGTCTGTGGCAAGGCGGCGGCGACATGCTCGACGGGGCTGTGGACAAAATCGGCTGCGGTAGGCGGAGGAGGAAGGTTGATGGCGGGGCGGCGGTCGTCGATCGCCGGCGGGAGTCATGGTGGCCGGATCTAGTGTGTGTTTGTGTGTGTGGAATGTGTGTGTCTGTGTGAAATGCGTGTGTGGGTGCCGATATTAGTGTGTGTTTAAGTGTGTGAGAGATGGTGTGGGGTCCACTTTGAGTTGTAATTTTTGTGATGACCATTATATCCTTAATTTGTGGTCAATTGTACATATTGGACCATCAAGGTTCAAAGTATTTACTATAATGCCATCATATGTTTGACTAACATTAATAAAATTTGACTTTATCATGACCATTAATAAGACAAATCCAATGGTTCAAAATCATTCTTATTTCTTTCATTGTACTTCATTCTCATTTGAGCGCACTTCTATATATATATATATATATATATATATATATATATATATAGGAGACGGATCCAATGAGACCACTCCTTAAAATGAGTACGTGAAAC